GTTTATTGGAAGTCTAACCGTAAGGCATGGGTGACAAGACAGCTCTTTAATGAATGGGCTGTTGATGCGTTTTGCTCTTCTGTCAAGAGCTACCTAACCACCAATAAACTCCCTTTAAAGGCTCTTCTCCTCATGGATAATGCTCCTGGTCATGGCCCTGACCTTGCCAGAAATATGGAGTGTCAATTTGACTTTGTGAAAGTGTTGTTTTTGTCTCCAAACACTACATCAATCATACAGCCAATGGACCAGAATGTGATCAGCAACTTCAAGAAGTTGTACATGAAGAAAATGTTTAGGAGGTGTCATCAGGCAACTTCCAATGATCCTGAACTAACATTGAAACATTTCTGGAAGACACAATTCAACATCATGGAGGCTGTAAAATTGATTGTGTCATCATGGCAAGAAGTCTCCACTAGATCCCTCAATTCTTCATGGAAAGCACTGTGGCCATCAGTATTCCACGATTTTGAGGGATTTGAGGAAGAAACAGAGTTGGACCAGGAGATTGTGTCCATTGGTCAGTCATTGGGCCTTGAAGTGGAGGAGGAGGATGTGGAAGAGCTTGTGATGTCTCATGAGGAAGAACTTACTCCTTATGACTTGAAGCAACTGGATGAGATGTAACAGGTAGAGGCTGACAGTGGTGAGGAGGAAATTGAAAGTGATGACCATATGGCAGCTAAACAGTTGAAAGATGTGATTTACCACTGGGAGAAGTTCAGGGAACTGGCTTCAAAGTACCCAGAAGTGGAAAAAACTGAACTAACTTTGTGTCATGTTGAGGACTCAGTGGTCTCCTTCTTTAAACATAAGTTAATGGTGAGGAGGACAGGTGCCCCACAGACCACGACACTTTCTTCAGTAAAAGCCAGAGGGAACAAGATGCTATCCCTCAGCCTTCCACTTCAAGAAGGAGAGAAGATGTTCATGGTGGAGAATCTGTCAGTCCAGAGGTTCCTGACATTTTCATGGAAGATGACTCACCTTCCAAGAAGCAGTAAAATGCATCTCCTCCACCTCCACTTCCTTCTCTCCCTTCTCCTCCTCCACCTCCCACTTCAAATTCACATCATCATCATCATCCAGGAGCCTTCTACATACACACCTCAAAGTAAGTGAACTTTTCTACCTTTTTTGTTAAATTTAGGCAATTTTCGGTGAGCTGGAACCAATTACCCAAAAACCCATTGAAACAATGGTTTCGGTTAACGAGATTTTTGGTTAACGAGCAACCTGCTGGAACGGATTGTGCTCGTTAACCGAGGGACCACTGTACAGGGTACTATAAAAAATATAACAAAACTCTGACACCACTCAACAAACCTCAAATAACAATTACGGGAGACAAATAATTAATGCAGTCAACAGTTAATGGAGTCAAACAATTAATGGACGCAAACAATTAATGGGAGCAAACAATTAATGGGAGTCAACAACTGATAGAATCAAACAATAAAAGGGAGTCAGTAATTAAAGGAATCAAACAACAACAAAATCAAACAATGAACAGATATTTCCTTCGGCAGTGGCCCTGGGGGTGGTCCAGACAGGCTTCCTCACTCGAGTGACAGCGGCCGATGTCTTGATACAGTAGACGAAACACCGGGGCACAGACGGTGGAGAGGAGCTGGCAGCCGTGGCGGTTGCGGTAGTGGTTTCGGGTAGGTATCCAGAGATTAACAGACGAATTGTGAAGGTCTTGGAAAGCAGCCCACGAGTCCAGGACCTATGATGAGATCACAGCCAGAATTTGACGAATAGCGGGGTAGATAGATAGTGACTGTATGGCGGCTGGGGTGAATCTGCCTGTGACACAGGTAGCCGCTGCCGTTCTCACCTCTTTCCAACCCCCCAAGTGTTGGTCGCACCAGCAAACGAGAGAGTTAGCAGCGGTAACGAGCAGAAAGATCGTTTCCGCCCTTACATCCAGTGTTTCCCACTTACTAAATGTATAGTATACATAAGTGTAATCACTGTTTGCATTCTTAACACTGCATTCTTGGCTGATTTTGTTCTGGTACAGTTATGTACAATGCACAACACAAATTGTGCACAAAAACAGCAGCAACTGAAGGAACAACCTTCTACAATGGAAGCAGAATATGAACTAAGCAATCGAAGCAGCTAAGCCACCTACGTGCTTGGTACGTTGGGATGCGTTGGAGCATGATGCTATCTCTCAGAACTCCCAGATAATTTATTCCCAGAAAATATTTCCTGTTTTCAACTACGAAAACTTGCACAAACCAGCATTGAGAGAATGTTTATGGAAAATTTCTGAGTCAATTTTAATTCTGGATATTGGAGAGTACCGGCTAATGGGGAGCTACTGTGTGAGGCTCTAATGAAATGGAGAAGGGTTCAGGTTGTTTACTAAGTCCGGCATAGCACCACTGACCTTTAAAGCCAGGGGAGTTGAGGTAAGGGAAGAGAGGTGGTGGCTTTACCCAGGGTGGGAATACAACATTGCCATGCCACGAGTCAGGGAGATGTGCGTAGACACTTTGTGTTGACAACTCCCTGCCGAGTTTTCAAATTGTATGACTTTCCTTTCATCATAATCTTCTGCTTCCGTACCTGTTGACATTCTCTACGAGGTAGTGGTGCAGAAGAAGTGGAGATTGACTTGCCAGATCGTCCAAGGTGCTGCATGGATTTCCCAGGCACTGCATAAGGTCGTTCCATCATCTCGTCGCCAATTGATATTTACATACCTAAAACAGATGATAAAATCTTTGTGTGATCCTTGAATTCTGTAGAATACTAATTATATCATTATCCCAGCCTCCTTGTCAATTTTTGGAGGTAATAGAAACACTGGGATGCGTTGCCGGATCTTCATTCTACGGTGGCTAATAAGCAAGTGATCTGTGTACAAAAGAAGGCTTTAAGGCAGGCCTATACATGCTGACCTAAACAAAAATGAAGGGAGTGGCTCATGGCACGCTGTTCAAAAGATACATAAATAAATACAGTACAGACACTCTCCGGGTTACAGAATACTCAGTTTACAGAACTTTGAGGACACAGAATGCCTCCTATAAGTTCCATTGTGGGGTATGTTATGTTTGGTTCACACTCAGGATGGGATGGAGAAAGGAAACTCACAATGTGCTCTCTGTATACATGTTGTATTGGATGTACAATGCAGCTTGGTGCTGGGAAGTGGCAGCATGGTTACAAGCGTGATGTAGAGAGAGCTGGTTGGTGAGGGTGGTCAGAGGAGGACCAGCTTGTGGGTCGCCATGCTCGCCGGCGGGAGCGAGGGCCAGGCAGCGGCGGAGGAGGTGGTGTAGCTTGCTGCGGCTGTAGCTAGAAGAAGAGGGAGGGCACCACGAGGTCAGGTCTTAAATAGCGGGGGTAGGTGTGGCTTAGTAGTTGACCGTCATGTAAGGCGGCGCTGGTTGACCTAGACCACGAGGCATACACTGGAGAATTCGTGGGGTCGGCTACTCAGCGACAGTGTTTGTAGGGGAGAAATCCACTACAATACTCCCCCCCCCCCTTCCCTCCAGGTGGTGTAGGAGACTTGTTGTCTGCAGGGTTGCATGGCACATGTGAGGCAGAACGGGCGGTGCATGCCACATGTGAGCCATAATGGCGATGGCGTGGATGAGCCGCCCGCTAGAGGAGACAACTGTCTAGATACACACTATCTGTGGGAGTACAGAGGCAGAAAAAGGCTGTGTGGAGGCGATGAATGTTGTGCTTCCCTCATGGCAGGTACAGAGTCGTCAGATGCGCCTGCTGGGGTGTGTGGGCCTGAGTCAGGAGCAGGGGCTGTGTCAGCAGAAGTGAATGAGGGCTCATGACAGCAGCTGGGTCCATGACAGCAGCAGTGTGCAGGACAGTAGCAGGGAGTACCTGAGGGAGAAAAGAGGGGTGTGTGCGTCCGCACTCAGGCGTATGAGCCGCGTCGGGAGCAGGGGCTGCATCAGGAGGAGAGGCAGGGGGTACTGCTGGGCCGGGGGCGGCGTCTGAGGCAAGACGGGTGTGCTGGGGTCGGTAGGACGTGGTGCTTGGGGCAGGAAGAGGAGCTGGTGTCTGCTTAGAGAAGCAGTGCTGCTCTAGGGTGTCTAACCTGCGGTGTAGAGACAGTAGCTGTAGAGCCGATGAGAGGTGCCTCTGTGTGGATAAGCCAGTCTTCCATGTTGCTTGAAGACTGGGAGCGTGATCGGTTTCTTCTCCATGCTGTGTGACTGCGAATCTCCGGGGGTCACCATTTATGGGGTATGTTATTTTTGGTTCACACTCAGGATGGGATGGAGAAAGGAAACTCACAATGTGCTCTCTGTATACATGTTGTATTGGATGTACAATGCAGCTTGGTGCTGGGAAGTGGCAGCGTGGTTACAAGCGTGATGTAGAGAGAGCTGGTTGGTGAGGGTGCTCAGAGGAGGACCAGCTTGTGGGTCGCCATGCTCGCCGGCGGGAGCGAGGGCTGCCAGGCAGCGGCGGAGGAGGTGGTGTAGCTTGCTGCGGCTGTAGCTAGAAGAAGAGGGAGGGCACCACGAGGTCAGGTCTTAAATAGCGGGGGTAGGCGTGGCTTAGTAGTTGACCTCCGCCATGTAAGGCGGCGCTGGTTGAACTAGACCACGAGGCATACACTGGGGAATTTGTGGGGTCGGCTACTCAGCGACAAACAGCGTTTGTAGGGAAGAAATCCACTACACCATTACAAAAATTTTCGGGTTGCTCAGGAGTTTATTATCACGGAAGGTAACTAGTATGGCGTAACAACACTATTTGCAGAGGATTATGCATAAGGCGGCTGAGCACATCCACTTGTGAAACGTCATCTGTGATTCAGTACAGGGTACAGCACATATTTTCTTTATGGAAGAGTCATTTTTGGTTTACAGAAAATTCTGCTTACAGATAGGGTCCAGGAAAGGAACATTTCCATAAATCGGGGAGTGTCTGTACAATGTAATATAAAACATATTTAAGAAAAATATTGGAAAATAATTATTGTTCTTGTTTTTTCCTTCCAGACTGGTGTCACATATCAAAGACCAACAGTTGGACATTAAAGAAGCATTTGATTATCACCTCTACCACAATGCACAGCTGCTGATACATGATCCTCATTGTCTTGTAAGAAATATCATTATTATTACATACTACTAATCTTTGTTATTTTAATTATTTTATTAAGAGTTTTATTATTGTTACTTTATCATCTTTGCCCTTTTTCATCTTACTAGCCAGTCAGGCAGTCAGCAATCTTTTCTGTTAGATGCATTGTTGGCAAGTATTAGGCAAGTATGGGCTCTTAAATGTACACAAATCTAAAAGGATATCGCAACCCTCGGATTCGATGGAAATCAGAATGATCCAGTATGTACAGACAAATGTATCTGTTGGGTTGGTACCTCTTGTCTATATAGTAAGACCTCCCTCCTCCCCAAGTCGGATTATAGGGGGCTCAAACTAGTCCGACTTATGTGAACATCCTCCCCCCCTTTCGTTATTTAGACCACCATTTAGCTGAAAAATCACAACAAAACCAAATTAAAGTTAGCAATACTTATTACCATGCACTTACATTGCAGCAGATGAATTTTGAGATTGTTGTAGTTGACAAATCTTGAGTTAGAGGACAAAGGGGGGGGGGCTGCTTAAAATTACTTTACTGTAGTTTCACTTGTACAGTTTAGTTTCACTTATATTTATCTGCACAGTTACATTTAAAATTAACATTTATTTCTTGGTTTAATCACTGTCGGAATTGAGGATGCGAGGTGGGGGGGTTACCACCAATCCTGACTCTGAGGTGTAGGGGGTGTACCAACGGTAAGGAGGCGTATCATATGTCCCAACGGGATGAAGAAACTGCACTATTTGAGACTGAATGTGAGAAAGACCTAACTGTGTATATTGACAATGAGCTGAAGTTCTCGGGCCATTGCGCGAAGAAGGTAAATCAGGCAAATAAATTATTGGGTCTTATAAGAAGGTTGTTCAGATATCTAGACGGTCCGTCCCTCGTAACGATCTTCAACAGTGAAGTGCTTCCCATCTGTAGTACTGTCACCCCGTCTGGTCCCCGAGATATGCTAGGGACTGTCAGTTGGTTAAAAATGTTCAAAGGAGGGCCACCAGACTGGTGCCTGCACTTTGGTACCTCAATTACCTGAGAGATTGGAGCGCTTGAACTTGCCTAGCTTATGCTACAGACGGGCAAGGGGCGACCTAATTGAGCTGTATAAGCATCTCAAGGGGCACTACTCAGTCGAGTGTCCTTACTTGGAGCTGGCGGACTCTCGCCCCACAAGAGGTCACAGCTCAAGATTGAAGAAGCCACAGGTCCAGAAAACTGTGAGGGCAAACTTATTCGGAGTGAGAGTTGACCAACACTGGAGCAGGTTCAGGTACATTCAGGAGCTGGTGCATGCCCAGTACTTGCCAACAATGCGCACAGAGACGTGATCGATCACCCAAGCGGCTAACGAGCTGATTAGTGGTGAAGAGAATAAAAGAAAAAGATAACTCTAGATTGCCAGTACGACTGGCAGGTCAGCCTCCGGAAGGATCATTAAGACTAGCAGACTCGCTAAAGTTCGCCTGAAAAGGCTGAACCTGCTATTGAGGACATGAATAAAATAGAGTTATGAAGAGAAAACTTAACTCTGGCCTGAATGCTAAGAGTAATCATAAAACTCAGGGAGGAGGGAAAATCACATCCCACATGGCGGACGCCCCAAATGTTTCGTGAATGAACATGAGAAGGGGGAGGAGGAGGATGGAATGGCCACATCTACCATGGTAACTGATCACAACACTTGCACAGTAATAGTTGGGGCTAAAAAAAAAAAATATAGTGAAGACGAGCCCGGAATGTCTAAAAACAAACGGCATTCACTAAGTGACTTTAAAACAGAGAATTATTAGTCACTAGATTTTGTCTTTCTGGGGAGAAGACGATCCACGGCTGCCATGACTGACCAAACTGTATAAAAAACTAACCCCAAACACAAAATCTGAGTGACATCACGAAAACTAAAGTCACTCAAATGTCTAACCGTGATAAGATGTATAATTTCCAAAGGCAAATTCCTTGTGGCACTTAATATTCCAGCTATCACAACACAGAATAGTGGAGCCTTCTATGTGTGTCTTTAGTACTGAGTTGCCAGGCAAGAAAGATGGCAGCAGTGATGTGTGTGCTTGCGGGTGCCGGAGGGGGTTTTGAGAATTGCAATTAAATGCCAGGTAGCGACGTGTCCTCCTAATATTACATATTTAAGTAATAATTGGATGTTTTAATTGCCTGTATGTTGGCCTGGCGAGTTAATGCAGGGCATATATATATGCAGGTATAAAGCTAGATGTCACATTCTGGATTGAACAAAAAGCCGTTTTTTTCTAAAAACCAGTTTTTGTGATATAGCTCAGAATGCGACGCACAGCATGTTACCTAGGTATGTTAATTCCTAGCTAACTCACCAGACCAACATACAGGCAATTAAAACATCTAATAATTACTTAATAAGTAACATTAGGAGGACACGTTGTTACCTGGCATTTAATTGCAATTCTCAAAACACCCCCCATCATACGCATCACGACCTTCATCTCTTGTCTTAGAGCGAGCAGTAAACAAAAGTCAACTCTCGAGGGGTGGAGATGGGTTGGTTATCGGCGTCGCATTCTGAGCTATATCACAAAAACTGGTTTTTAGAAGAAAACGGCCTTTTGTTCAAGTCAGAATGCGACACACAGCATGAATACCCGAGCAGGAGGTGGAGAGGGAGGTGACTTTGCATACAAGGCTCCGCTGACTTAGGTCCAGATTATGTTATAAACCGTTTTAGAATATTTCCAAAATTAGGAACATTTACCGGAAGGTAAAATGTTAATTTTCTCAAAAAGGATACTCACTTTATTCTGATGAGGAAGAAGGTCCTGGTTGTGGGGATTGACCAGGTGGGGGAGGGGACCCCAGCACCACCACATGTGAAGCATCTTTCAGAGATAAATGAAGATAGCTGTCTTTGAAAGCTTTTGAAGATCTCCAAAAGCCCATTTCCTTGATCTGACTGAGACTCATATGCTGCAGAAAGGCCACAGACCCTGCATATTTCCTAGTGTCATGTGCAGAAAATTTCTTGCCAGGGTCTGCTTGATTTATTAATTGAGATAAGGATTTTGTCATTTGACTAGGAGATAATTTCTTACCATCCCTTGATGAGAAAACATAAGGGCCTCTATTAGGGAATCTGGTTAACCATTCCTGAAGATTTTTAACTGGACACAATATGCGAGGAACCCTTGTTTCATCCATTAGACATTTTATCCTAATAGGTTGAGCTTGGAACTCTTCCCTTTCATTTTTTCTTAGGATCTCCGTAGGAAAAATGATAACATCCTCATCAGAAAATACCAATAATGATGGATTATTTGAAATTGAAATCAGTTCACTGATTCTCATACCTGTTGCTATTGCTAGAAGGAAGGCTGCCTTCTGGAGTAATTTATCCCTGTTCAGATTTATGTAATTAGGCCCCATAAGAAGATTAGTAACTTTTTCCAGAGACCAAGGTGGGATTCTCTTGGGGTGAGGAGGTCTCTGAATCAAAAAGGACGATCTTAGCGTTTGATAAATCCTTGGGTTCAAAGTAATATTAAAACCCCAAGCCAGAGGGTCAACCATTGCTGATTTATAAGATGCAATTGTCGTTCCTTGAAGGCCTTTAACTCTGAACAGAAATTCAAACACAACTGTTTCCAATAATGATTCTGGAGTTGTTAACTTGATAAATTGTTGGAAAAGATTCCAAGCTTTCTCATATTGCATAGAAGTTTGGGGTCTATGACCTGCTAATACTTGGTTAGCTATATTGGGATTACCCAACAACCTATTTAAACTTTTTTTGAGAAACCCCAAGCATGACATGCCAAGGATATCTCGAACTGAGAATGTAGTACTGTACCTGGTCTAGACATCCTTGTTGCAGTTGTAGTGGATTCGGGCACCAGTCCAGCAGATCTATCTGTGGAGTTCCAAACTTCTTCACTAGACTCTTGAACTCCGATACCTTTAGGGACCATTCTGTTTCTGTCGATACTGGCCGGAGACGGGACAGCGCATCTGCCCAATTGTTTTGTACTCCCGGTATATAAGTTGCTTTGAGGTAAAAGGGGCCAAGACCTTGTTGACCCTTGATGATTGAGACAAAACACTGCCGTTTTGTTGTCCATGGCAAACAGGATTGTCATATTTTGTAAATTTGGGTTTGCCAACAAAAAGAATAGGACCACTGCTAATTCTTTTATATTTATGTGTTTGTCCCAAAGGAAGTTTCTCCACTTCCCTTGACTGAATTCCCCTTTTGAGGAATGGTATCCCCATCCACACACCTGTTTGAAGCGGAACCCACGGAGAGGGACCGATTAGATTGTCCAACTTTGTCCACCATAACAGATGATTCTTTATATGAATAGGGAGAGAAGAAGCAACATTTTTGTTTCTGTGAAGCAACTTCGAGCCCAGATGAGAAAGTTGCTTTTTCCTTAACTTTCCCAATGGAACCACTATTGTGGCAAAATTCAACAGACCCCGAAGTTTCTCCCAATCGTGCCAAGAAACCTTGTGCTTTACACAAAAGGCTTCTACTTTGTTTATCAAATCTTTTACTTTTGTTCCTGGGAAAGACTGACTGCTGATTTGTATCCCACTGGAGACCTAACCAATTCAACTTTTGACATGGTATTAAATTTGATTTGACTTGGTTTATCTTTAAACCAAGGTTTTGAAATAGTACTCGTGTACGTTGGGTTGCCCTTTGACATTCTTCGAAAGAGTTTCCCATTATCAGCCAATCGTCTAGATATGCAAAGGTTCTTATGCCCTCCTTCGCAAGGATCTTTCTGGGAATGTTCGCCAGTTTTGTAAAGACTTTTCGCACAATTGTCATGCTGAATGGCATCACTGTTAATTGATAACTTACATTCCCTACTTTGAACACCAGAAATTTTTTTTACCTGGGAGCAACAGGAACGTGATAATAGGCATCTTCGAGATCCACTTTTGAGATCCAAGCATAGGGCGGAAGTAGATGCCCCAGATGGTCGTATGTGAGCATCTTGAAACTTCTTTTGATAATAAATTTGTTTAGGACTGAAAGATCCAAAATCCACCTTAATTTGTCGCTGCCTTTCTTGGGGACTGGGAATAGGCGAGACATGAAGCATTTCTCTGACTGTAACAGTTCTATGACACCTCTGTTTAGTAGTTGAATTACAAATCCTGTAAGTAAGGGGGTTGGTTTTTACCCTTTTTTGGAAACGCTAGGGGAGGGCGCCTCAACCAAGTCTATGTAAGACCCCCTTTGATTGTCTTGTAAGTCCATATGGAAGAAGTCCAACTGTTCTCCCAACCCCCTAGACGACCCAGCTGTCTGGCTTCATTGGAAGAGAGTAGTTGCTGAAGTGGTGGAATAAGGTCTCCTTCCGCTTCTGAACAAACGGCCACCTCTATTACGTCTTTGATTATTTCCTCCTCTAAAATTTCCCCTAGGTTGTTAACTGAACCGAGCAGCTGGTCCTGTTCCCCTGTAAAACTTTCCTCTCCTAGGTTTCTGAAAGGTCTGAGGACTCCTGGGGACATTAATATTAATAGTATTCTCAAATGATCATCTATATTTAACCAATGATTGTTCATCAAACAAAGCAGGAGAAAGAGGAGAAAATCGTAGCACCAAATAAGCGCTACCACTTGAAGCATTTTTGGTGGCTTGTTTCCTTAGCTGGACTTTCAGTCTTAGGGCTTTCAACAGATGATCTAAAAATGAGTTGTACAGGGACTATGGGATTTCTTGTAAAGCAGCAGCGAAACATTAGTCCACTTCTGAATTTTCTTCATAGTCCAGCACAAACTTAGTTAATAACTGACACATCATAATTGCAGACCAAATATCTGCTGCCAATTTCCTAATTTTAAATTCTTCAAGCAGCAGTGCAGGGGCAACTGGTTTCAAATTTTTTTCATATCTTATATCAACATATTTTGAAGCTGACAAATATTGGGAAAGATCATATAAGGAACTCTTTTCGTCATTAAATTGGAACTTCAAAAAACTAAACTTGTGAGCATTCCTGTCTGTGAGAATGAATGTTAAGTCTTTCAATAAATTAGCCCAGACTTCGTCTATTTCAGAGATCATCGTTGGGCAAATATCAGGCCAAGAAAGTGTAGTATCACCTTCCAAAAACAAAGAATGATGACCCAAAGTTGCATGTCCTTCCTGTCTCTTTGTAGTTGCTGAGATATCAAGAAGCTTAGAGACATTTTCATAAAATATTTTGAATAAGGAATCCACAGATTCAGATGTAGTAGAAAACAAAGAAGACTTAGATCTTACCAATGTTATCCAAGGCCTGTTGGGATCATCCTTACACTCAATGTTATCCAGCAGCTGCGTGGCAGTTGACAGCAGCCTGTTTCCACTCATAGTAACCAACACTTTTGCCCCAGGTGGAAGTGGTTGCCAAGATGTGGATAGGATGAAGTCAGTCTCAACAGGTTCTTCCTGCTCAACAGACTGGATACTATGATTATAACCAGCCTCATCGTCCTGATCCTGGAATCCACTGAAATCAGACTGAGTAGATAGAGGTTTTTGTAGACTTCCCATTGCCCCATTGTCTGGAGGGTCCAATAACTTATTTTTCTTAGCAGCAGCAGTCTTGTCTAAGTGGGGATTAAGTCTTTTACCTAACACCAATAAACCTAAACTTTCTGCCAACTTGGGATCTTTCCATTGTTGTACATTCAAAAATTTACTCTTCAAGGCCTTATTCCACCTATTTTTAATTTGTATTTGCAATAAATCTTTCTTATCACCTGTAGCTTGATGAAATTGAAAAATTTGATCATAACAAACTGCACAATCCATTGGTGAAAATAGGTTATTTGAGACACAGCTGCTCTATATTTTTTATAATTACATGTAGTATGGCTCCCTTGGGTCTTGGGTGAAACTATTATGACTGAATTCAAATTCTCTACTGACATACAATTCCTTGTATGTAGTGCCTGAGCTGAACTTTCTAGTCCTTGTAGCTCATCACTCAATACTATCTCCTCAGGGACAGTTCCATAGTCTCCTCCATCATCTATGGGCCCGGACTCCTGTCCTTCATCTTCCAGATGCACAACACTCGTCTAATCTAGGAGGACACCATGAGTCACATTTTACCATAAAAATATAAGGGAGAAAGCATTTTCTCCCAAACTTAATCTATATGACTCATAATTGTTATATTATTAGTAAGTTACTTCATTAAGATCTCTTATTGTTATATAAGTCACTCGTTTGACAATTATAAACAATTAACTCACCATGACGTATCTCTCTCCCAACTCTTATCTCAAGTATCCCTTAGCTCAATGAAATTTTTTTTTTACATAAAATAATTTCATTTAGAACATTTTATTTAGAGTGATCATCCAGATCTTTATTTGTTGCCAATCAGGGGCACAGACATTATCCCCCAAGTAATAACTTAAGCAAAAATTCCTACATGCGCACTATCACCCGGCAGGGTTGACAGTGCTGAGCTGCTAACATAGCGCTCTATTGGCAACAGCGTTCACTATTACTCTAGCAATATTTATTGGGTTGAGAATTCCACCCTGAATTGTTCTCAAATAACCCATATAAGGATGTAAAGTCCATTTCAAAATAACTCTAGATTGCTAAGAAGACCAGAAGGTCAACATTCCGGAAGGAACGCTAAGTCTAGCAGCCTCGCTAAAGTTTGCCTGGAAAGGCTGAACCCGATACTGAGGACATCAATAAAATAAAGTTATGAAGAGAAAAACTCAACTCTGGCCTTTATGCTGAGAGCAATTAGAAAACCGAGGGCGGAAGCCCAAAGGTTTTTTGTGAACGAACATAAGAGAAGGAAGAGAGACAGTCATGGCATTCATACGAGCACGTGAATAATTGGGACAAAGAAAACCGTAAACAGTATACATATATATGTATATATAAATAGATATATTCACATATTCTCTTTCAGTGAAGACGAGCCCGGGAGGGCGCAGCAACATTCACCGAGTGACTTAAGGCAAGGAATAGTCACAGCGATCTAAACGACTTCACAAAGAAGACGTGTTGTGGTCGCCATGATGCTGACCAGAGATCGTATAAGAAATTGTCCCAAATACAATAATTGAGACATAACAAAATAAAAGTCTCTCTACTTCATCACTGTGCTAATAAGTACAAATACCGTATATAAAATCCTTGTGGAGCTTAGTATTTCAGCAATTACAACACAAATTCGCAGAGCTCTCCTTTGTGTCTATTTGCAGCTGAATCGCCAGGCAAGAGATGGAGGTCGTGATGCGTATGGTGGGGGGTGAAGGAGGGGGTTTTGAGAATTACAAATAAATGCCAGGTAGCGACGTGTCCTCCTAATATTACTTATTAAGTAATTCTTGGATGTTTTAATTGCCTGTATGTTGGCCTGGCGAGTTAGCTAGGAATTAACATACCTAGGTAACATGCTGAGCGTCGCATTCCGACTTGAAGAAAAACATAATTTTTCATTGTCCGTATATAAACCATGCATTTACCTATCATAACATAATAAGAAACTTTGTATCATTACTAGAGTGAATGAAATAATATTCCCACAAACAACAATTGTCAACTCTGTTTATGTTTCCCACCTCCTCGGGCACCTGTGTCCCAGCAACTGACGGGTCAAGCAGTGCCCACAGGCCTAAAATACTTTTTGCTCTGGCTTGGGAATGTTTCTAAGGGAAACTTCTAGGAGGCTTCTTAGCCCAGAACCCAAAAAACTTTTGTCCGGATGTTCCGAAATCCGGATTTCCCGGGTCCGGATCTTCGAGGGTTTACTGTATACCTGTCCACTACTGACTTGCACATCCAGTGACCCATTCATCCACCAATTTGCCAGTCCACCAATTTGTATTATGTCCCTTCCCAGCCATGCAGTAGCACCACAAGTCCGACTCCTCACTCCACAGTGGCCTTGCCTGTCCTGAAGACCAAATGTGTACTATTTCTATATTGTAGGTTACTTAACTAAACTATGATTCTCCACACATTACATATGATTATTTTATTTTTCAAAATAAACTTTAAAGTTAGTATTAAAATTTGTGTATGTGTCAAGATAATATGATAAAAAAATCTTGGTGCAGAGCATTACTATAAACTAGAGGAAAAATCAGACAGATTTGACTTCAAATGTTACATGTTGCAGACAAATTGGAAATATCTGTCAGTGGGCATGTGATATACTTCCCTGCTATTAGTATGACCAAGGTACATCCTCCTTTGTTTTAGAACATCCCAGAATTCATTTCTTTGACTTCTCCTGTAGCCAATAGAGATTATCCCATTAGATTTTTAATTTCTTTTAATAAATTGTCATCAGCTGCAATGGCATCAAGCTTATCAATAATGCAATTTACAATCTACATTGGCTTGTTTGGGCATACAAGACTTGAAATAAAATATGTTCTTTTTTAAGCTGTATGTTAAGTTGCAGGTAAGAGATTTTGTTCTTTTGATAAAAAAATTCTGCCAGTACCATGCCCAGTGTATTGTATGATAATAAACATGTAATTTTCCACCATTTTGTTAAAGGAAGGAAGAAATTCTTATCTTCCTTGTGGGAAAAGTCATTCTGAGAATTTTTTCTTTTCACTTCATTCAGGTTGAAGAATATGTGAGTGGAGGCATTTGGATGAGAGTGAATAAAGGATTGTGGCAAGAAGAATTAAAGGAATGGATAAGAAGTCCCCAGCACTGTGTGATATACTTACGCACAGAACATTCTACAGCCATGGAAATCATGCAGTGTAAGATTTCCTAAAGTAGCTACTATGTATAGAGAGCAGTCTTAATATGATGTTTGCTATGTTCTGCTCTTTCATTAATTGATGACACACACACACACACACACACACACACAGTATATACATAATACAGTATGTCATGTATGTTTTATATTACAAAGTATTCACTCTTGCATCTTTTGAAGACCTTGCTAAGCACCGCATATTTTGTTTAGGTCAGCATGTGTGGGTCTGCCTTAATGCTTTCTGTGTGCGCTACACACTTGGTTACCAACTGTTTCAGAAAAAAGTTGCAGCAACGCAACCCAGTAATTCTTTCACCTCCGAAATTAAACAGTAAATCTTCTGGGTCCAAGATCACACAGATATATTATCATCTCTCTCAGGTATGTGACATTCACTAGTACAGGAGGGTCCCTAAGTTATGTACACCCATACTGTTAGGTGTTTTCTTGAAGGGAGGAAGAAACACCGTGTAGCAGCCGAGAACTTTAATGTAGAGATGCTTACTTCAAGCCTGACAGGAAGTAACTGGCGGCTGGCGTGCAGACTGCAGACTCTCCGCTACCAGGGGTTGCCAGGTAGCGCCAACATAACAATAATGTCTACATCTTATACATACTTATTCAGGTGATTTCATTGTATTCATGATAAAAGTCTGGCTCAACTTATAAAGTTCTCTAGTACTACGAATGCAACAATACTTTGTTCAGTGGCGCACCTCTGCCACGCATCTGGTGGTTCCGAGTCATGGCAACAACAACAAACAGTCTGTTAGCCATCACAATTTTATGTTTGTTTCTCTTTATCTATTTACTCTTTCATGCTCAATTTTACAAACTCTCATCTTGACCAGGAAATGTAGGAGTTGTGGAAGTTAAAATCTGTACCCCAAGAAGTATTAGACCTGTACTTTTTAGACAAATTTGGACATAATTAAGACGAGTGAGAAAGGTGAGCCTCCATTCCAAATTGGTCGGTCACTACAGTTGACCAACCACTTTGATTGGCACAACTTTTTTTTTTTCCACTTATCAGCTTACTAGCCATTCGGGTGGTTGGTTTATCTATTCTTAGTACAGGAAGAAACTGGAGGCCGGGAAACCTGTGATGTTTACAGGAGTCACACTGGATAATACCTTTCTCACATTTGTCCGGGCCAAGACTCAAACCTTTGACATTTTGGTGAGAGATATATTCATTACTACTCTACCACCATTACCTCCTTAAAGACAATTGTTACTAAGCAAAGGATGGGTGTTATTGTAGAGATGGAGAAACTGTTGACAGTGTAGAAAGAGAATCAGTGTCAGCATAGTGTGCTTCTCATCTTAGTATTGATTCATCTTAGTATTGATTCAGGAAAAAGCCCAAATTCTCTACAGGAATTTGAAGGAGAAACAGAGGGAAAGTGCAGTGCCAGCACCAGTGTCACTGCTTGTGCTAATAAAACTGAGGCACTTGTTGCCAGATGCAGGTGATTCAATAGGTTTAGAGCCAGGGCAAATGTACACAAGGTAAGAAAAGTATCTTTACAATTTTTGTGCAAAACAAAATGACACCATGAATGAAGATTTTGTTATATAGTCCCATGAGGCATAATGAACTAATTTTATATTTTTAATAAAATAACTCAATTAGGCCAACCATAATAGGTAAGAAATGTCTCACAATCAAACCTACCAACCCTAGCGAGACAACAGGATTGTTCAGTTCCAAATTTATCTGACCCCTCCTGAAAGATATTTTTTTTACAGTGATACATACTGTAACATAAAAGTGATTGGTGAAGCTGCTAGTGTTAATGATGATGCAACAAATAATTTTAGATGGAGGGTATAGTGACAAGCAGATATATAATGTTGATGAAACAAGGTTGTTTTAGGAACAAAATACTACAGTGGAGTCTGCATTTACGCAGTCAATTGAACCCGTGGAGGCCCACGTAAAACGAGAAATGCATAAATGAAATAACAGAACCTATGGGATTAATTGAAATAGAGACTGGGCCGACCCCCCAAACTCCACTTTTTCCGACACAATATGGACCTTGTAGTCAAAATAACATCTTAATTTTATGATGGTATGCACACATAATTAATAATTAAGAGAAATATCAATAATATTAGGTTTATTAACACTTACGTTAGTAGAAAAGCTGGGTCGGCACACATGGATGGCGGCTGGTTCCGAGGCAGAGGGCAGATTAGTTGCCCTCCGGTGAATCAATTTCACTTTCACTACTCGCAGAGGTTTGCAGGGCCTCCCAGACAAACCTCTCACAGGCTGGCTGTGGTTGTGGTGGGTTGCGGACGAGGAAGTCCTCAATACTACGTTGACGACTAGCATTGATGTTGTCGAGATAGGTCTGGATATATGGCTCCATAAATTTCATCAGATGGTTAATCGACACTTCATACCGATGCTTGTCTGGGTCATTGTTAAGGATGAGCTTAAGTTTCTCCCCCAACTCGATGATTTCCTTCACATTATCATGGCTTGGTCCAGGTAATTCAATGATTTTCTCTGGTGGTGGAGGTCCCGCGGAAGCCATTGTGAGTTGTGAGGGGATTAGCGGGCACAAGAGAGAACTGTATACGCGGACTGAGAACAATGAGGCAGGCCCTGCTAGGTCAGTGACTTCTACCCTCTGGTGGCATGGCACGTCATGTTACATTAGACCAATCACAGCTAGCGGCGGAGGGAATGCATGGGTGGTAAGGACGCGTCGCCCAATCACAGTCCGATACGTCATATGACATCACCGATAACACAACCTTACCCGCGCCGCTTGTGGTCGCCTGAGCTGCTTGAATCCAAAATGGCGCGGCGCGTCTGGACCCTCCAGCGACTCGCCGCGTAAATGACCAAATTTACCGCGTAATTAGAGCATTTCGATTCTGGCAAGGCACCGCTTAAATGACCAAACGCATTAACCAAACCCGCGTAAATCCAGACTCGACTGTACTGTACTTTATTGTACTTATATCTTGAGGTAAGAGAAGTCCATGCCAGATCTTAAGGCTGACATAGAGAAACTTACTGTGATACTTGGTTACAATGCAGCTGGTGACTAGGAAAATGCAGCCACTATTTGTTTACCATGCAGAAAATTCCTGTTCCATCCCATGGACCAAGATTTTATTGCTTCATTTAAGGCCTATACAGTGGTCCCTCGATTAACGAACACAATTGGTTCTTCAGAGTCAGTTGTTAACCGAAAATTTCGTTAACTGAATCTATTATTTCAATGGGATATTGGGTAATTGGTTCCACTCACAGAAAAAGTATATTGTACATTCGCAACAAAAAGTATCGGTGCATACTGTAGTGTGAACAATTTGAGACCAGTGATGATAGGTATTGGGAAAGGCGAGTTGTTCAAGCCGTATGTTGGCAGCCCTGATTGTCAGTCATATGGCAACACCTACTAGAGGGGGGGGGGGTTATGAGGATACACTTACCAACCTTCCCGACATATCACAATGTATACGTATCGTTTCGGAACTCGTCGCTCTCACCCTACACCGATACTTTTTGGTGCGAGTGGACATACAAAGTACTGTATACCAGTAATGGAATTAACAAAACATTAAATATAAACTAAATACAGTACTGTACAGTATAGTCTGGATTTACGCTGTTTTTGTTTACGCGTTTGGTCATTTACGCGGTGCCTTGCCAGAATGAAATGTTTTAATGACGCGGTTTTTTTCATCATTTACGCAGCAAGCAGCTGGAGAGGTCCAAACAGCCGCGCCATTTTTTACTTACGCAGTCCATTCTTGACCATGTATGTATGTATGTATGTATGTATGTAATATATATACAGTCAACCCTCACTTTACGCGGTTAATGTAACCCACAGGGTACCGCGGAAAGTGAGAAACGCGTAAAGTGAATAACATAACATATGGGATTAAATGAAATAGAGACCAGCTGTCCCCCAAACTCCACTTTTTCCGACACAATACCTATGTTCTAGTAAAAATAACATCTTAATTTTATGATGGTACATGCACACAATTAATACTTAAGAGAAATAGAGAAATACAGTCGCCAAGTTAATGTCCATTCAAATAATGGACTCGACTCCCTCCCCCTCTTCTCACAGTACACTCGCTGGCTCTTCCCTCTGAGAAATTTTGGGGGGAAAACCAGGTATAGTAATAAATAATTCCTCAAACTAAAGTTAGGATAATATAATTGACATTGCTGGATTCCTTGTAAGACCAGGAATATTTTGAATATAAATGTCATATATTTTTCACAAAAGATAACATATTTACTCAGAGTAAACATTACATCTAAAATTTGTATGTCTAATGCAAAATCTATGATGTATATATTCAAAATGATCATCAAATTGTAAGAATTCCAGCAATGTAAATTATATTCTGGCCGGGTAATTTGTATGAATTTTATGAGCTAAAACAAATATCTTCAGTTAATAAAAAAAAAAAATATTCTTCAGACACTATCTGTCAATCAAATTACCCCACCTTGCCTTCCCCCCTCTTCCAACAGAGCCAGATGATCAGTCCGTCACAACCCTCCCCCCCCACCTCCCACCAACCCTCCCTTCAAGAGAAAGGGTGGGTGAAAAAACTAGATTTTAACATTTAGTATTAAATATTACCTCAGATTAAAGTTAGGATAATATAATTGACATTGCTGGATTCCTTGTAAGACCAGGAATATTTTGAATATAAATGTCATATATTTTGCACAAAAGATAACATATTTACTCAGCAAACATTATATCTAAAAATTTTATGTCTAATGCAAAATATATGATGTTTATATTCAAAATGATCATCAAATTGTAAGAATTCCAGCAATGTAAATTATATTCTGGCCGGGTAATTTGTATGAATTTTATGAGCTAAAATAAAAATCCAGTTAATAAAAATAAATAAATATTCTTCACACATGCCAGGTGGTCAGTCGCCGGTCCCACCCTCCCCCCCACCAACCGTCCCTACCAGATAAATGTGTGGGAA